TCGTATCCTCTCTTTCCCTTTTACTAGGTTCTATAATATCATCTCCTCTAAGAGTGACTTTAAAGTATAATTGGTTATAAACAACCTTTAGCATTTAGCTGCCCATTGGTAATGCTTATTCCAATATTGTAGAAATGCTCAGTTTTCAAAAGGAATGGTTTAAATTTCACCTTGAACATTACAGTTTATGTTTCACGGATAACATTAACTTAATGGACAATTATGCATTCATACATATTCCTTGGTACTTTCATTTGGATTTTGTTATTATTATTATTATTTTTTGCTTTCTGAGATACTTAGCATGTAAAATGTGAATTAGCTTTTTACTAAGAACATCGACACCAAGAAAACCTCTTTAAAAATGAAATTTTTGGTGGGCTTATTTTTTTGTTACTCAACATGCCAGGCAACCCCAGATATGGCAGTCACACTGCTTGAAATTGCAAGAATATTTGCTACCAAAGTGCCTGGAAAGATAGATGCTGATGTGCTGCAATTACTGTGGAAAGTGAGTTCCTACTGTAATAATTATGTTCTACATGGGTTTTATAATTTCTCTTTTGTTCATATCTCTGTCTACTTATGTCTCCGAAATCTCTTAGATTTTTTGTTAACCATCGATTTATAAAGTAGTAACTAAGTTTCACCTTTTTATCCATCCTTTGATGAGCATTCTATTACACCGGTGCCTAACGACAATTTTGTCTTTAATTAAAAATAATTTAGTCTTTTATTATTAATATTATTGTTGTTGCTGTTGTTGTTGTTGTTAGTATAAATAGAGCTAATATGTTTAGGGTTAGGATTATACTGTGAGATTGTCGTCTTGAGTCTTAGGGTTAAGATTTGTGAGAGATTTCCTTCCTCTCGTATTGTAGGATTTGGGAGAGATCGCCTACCTCTTGAATTGTTGGTTCTTATGTTTCTTTATGTATTTCTATTGTGTTGTTTGGTGTTCGTGAAATAAAATATCCGTTTCCCTAATTTTTGTTTGAAAAATCGTATTGATTCTTATTAAGTGGCATCACAACATTCGATCTGGGAAACAAGAAGGATAGCTGTGTACATAAGGGATCATGGAGTACAAGCTTCTCTATCTTGACGCATTCACTACCAAACCACAGACACCTCCGTCATTGTTGCGGTCATCACACTCTGTACTGCGCCTCAATATAGTCATGATAGGAACAAGTTGGAAGTCATCGAAGGATTACATATCAATACAACCACGATAAGAGCTCGCTAGGAAGGGGCAATAAAGCCACAGTAAGAGCTATCTGTGAAGCTGATGACGTGATTGCATACAACCTTTCTTTGATCAGAGTGAAACTTGTCCACTTTCATCGATCTCCGACGCTTTTCGTTCCCCTCCAATTGTACAAGATTGAGCGGTACAATAGTAGTAAGAGGTAGGCTCGATGTACAGATACGATTGAATTGGTACAGACACAATTTCAACTACTAGGAAAGCTAAAGCTATTAACGGGATTCCAGAGTATAGGGTTTCTTTGTTAAAAAATGTACTCGGAGAAATGACAATTAGGAAAGTGGATGCCTTGGAAGAGAGATTGTAAGAGTAAGACAACTTAAAGCTGGGATGGAGGAAAGGTTCTCAACAATAAATGAAAGATTTTTTATGGAAATTATTTTGAGAGCCGATTCGAGAGGAAGCTTATTCAGATGTTATCCAAGACCTCGCCGACGGTTCAATCTGCAAGCGCTGACCAAGGGTTGACCAGAAAAGCTTGGCTAAATTAAAAGGGAAAGGAAATATGAGGAGCAAAAAGCATCCACCTGTTGAGGAGTGTGTTAGAGATTTAAAATGGAGGGGCTTGGGCTGAAACATGGAGAAAGGGGACTAAACGGGGGGAGGAGAAGCTCATGGCGGTAGGGTTAGGTTTTGAGGGGAAAGCTTTAACATGGTTCCAGCAGAGGGAGGTTAGATACCTGATCCGCTTGTGGGAGAAATTTAGGGATTGTTTGTTGGAATGTTTCTGAGCCATTTAGGAAGGAGACTTACTTGAGCAATTATCTGCCTTGACTCGGGAGGAGGCTGTTATAAAATTTAGAGAAAAATTCGAGTAATTGTAGAGGTGGCTAAGAGTGATTTCTGAAGCAGTATTGGAGGAGAATTTCATGAAGGGTCCAAAACATGATATACATTCAACACTTTGGGCGTTGAGACCGTGCGGGTGGTATAAATTATGGAACTGACGCAATTGGTTGAAAATTAAAGTGCAATTGAACATGCTAATAGGATACCAAAAACTCAAACAATGGAAGTTTAGCGGGAGGCTATATGCCACAACCAAAAGCGACATTCAAAAGCCTCGTAGAGACAGATATTCAGGAGAAGCGAGCAAAAGGGTTATGTTTTTGGTGTGACAAAATTTACTCAAGGGCGCCATTGCAAGGATTAGATATTACAGGTTATCACAATATGTGACGAAGAGGCAGGGGAGCTTGACCTAGCATCAGTTTTCTTTTATCCACCTTGAGGACAAGGTGCTTCTTTGGGAGGGGAGTATCGTTACGCCGGTGCGTAAGAGCAATTTTGTCTTTTATTAGCCTTGAGGGTAATTTAGTCTTTTATTATTATTATTATTATTTTGTTAGTATAAATAGGGTTAATTTGTTTAGGGTTAGGGCTATGCATGAGATTGTCGTATCGGTCTAAGGGTTAGAATTTGGGAGAGATTTCCTACCTCTCAAATTGTAAAATTTTGTAGAGATTGCCTACCACTCTAATTGTAGGTGCTTATCTTTTATCTTTATGTTTTGTATTGTGTTGTTTTGTGTTCGTAAAATAAAGTAATTTGGCCTAGTTTTTGTGTGGAAAATCATGCCGATTTGTATCACATTCCTATGCTGATTTTTTGCTCCATGTCATTTAGTAGCTTATCTCTTTGCATTGCAATTTTTAATTCTTGAAGTTAATGACTTCATGCTTTTGCCTTTGCTAATGCTGTTTTTAGGACTGTTCTAAATGAGTGTACTGCACATTGGAAGTTATTATGTCTTTGTTTAAACAAGTTTGTATAGTAGAGCCAAGTTTTTCTTTGTCATCATTATACGATGGATTGTCTTAGGAGATTGGAATTCAAACAATTATTAGGTAGCCTAATCTATTGTCACCTAAATTTTATGGGTTCAAATCATGGAAATAACCCTTCTGCAATAAAAGACTGCACCAACCCGATTTGACACTGCATTGACAGGAGGCCTCATACATTAGATTTACCACACAAGGTGTTCTATGCTAATTTTTTGTTTCATGTTGTTTTTTTGAGCTTTCTTTGCAGTATAATTTTTTAAGGGTGGGAGGTAATGAATCAAGTTCTACTCTTTTGCTACTGTGTTTTCCGTTAAGGATGTTAATTTTAGTAAATGGTTGTCGAAAGATTTGAGGAGTAACATTGGTTGTTGGATAAGATAAAATAGCATGTGGTATGGATCTTAGACATCAGCGGGATTGTTTTGAATACAGATGCCGTGTAAAATTTTTCCATAGCATGATTTTTGTACACTGTTTTTATAATTATTTCTTTATTTTTTAAATCCTTTCCCCTAAGTTATTTTTGGATGATTGGGGGGCAAATTGAATAATCCACTCAGTGAAAACATTTTGTATTATGCATGCTATTGCGGGGCAAATTATTGTTTACTAGTCTTGTAAAGATGTATTTCACTATTCTGCATAAAGGTTGAAGCTTATTCTTTATTTAATCTTTTGCAATGCCTCGTGTTATAATTGTTGCATATATAATATTCTGTGAAAATATATAGACATGCCTTGTTGGAGCTGGACCTGAGGGAAAGCACACTGCTCTAGAAGCAGTTACCGTTGTTCTTGATTTACCACCTCCCCAACCTGGATCCATGGCTGAACTTACATCTGTAGATGGAATATCTGCATCTGATCCAAAGTCCGCTCTTGCTTTGCAGAGATTAATGCAGGCTGCAGTAAGGATGATTTCTATTCCCAATCTATTTACAAAAGCTACAGGTCTTAGTGTGATTAGAATATGAATCCTACAGACAGAAATATGTGCTGAATTTTTTTTTTTCTTCAGGTGTGGTTTCTTGGTGAAAATGCAAACTACGCTGCATCTGAATATGCTTGGGAATCTGCAACTCCTCCTGGTACTGCTTTAATGATGTTAGATGCTGATAAAATGGTTGCAGCTGCCAGTTCTAGAAATCCTACTCTTGCTGGGGCGCTAACAAGGCTTCAAAGATGTGCCTTCAGTGGAAGCTGGGAGGTAGGCTTTATTGCAATTAGTTACAACCTATATATTTTTGTGCAAGGGAATAAATGTTTGCTCTTCATTCTTACTTTCAATAATATCACCATAGGTTCGGATTGTTGCTGTCCAATCACTCATCACTTTGGCAATTCGGTCAGGGGAGCCCTATAGGTTACAAATATACGAGTTTTTACATACTTTGGCTCAAGGTGGAGTGCAGTCTCAATTTTCAGAGATGAAAATTAGTAATGGTGAAGACCAAGGTGCTAGTGGTACTGGTCTTGGAACTTTAATAGCTCCGATGCTGAGGTTGCTTGATGAAATGTACAGAGCTCAGGATGAACTGATGAAGTAAGTTACTAAACATCACTGATCTATCTTTCATTTATCTTCTTTGCTTTTTTTTTTCCTTTCTTTTTTACATTTGGTCTCAGTACTTTCTCCTGATGCTTGCTCTTTACACATGTTCACAGAGATATACGAAATCATGACAACCAAAAGCAAGAATGGACAGATGAAGAACTCAAGAAACTCTACGAGACACATGAAAAGTTTCTCAATTTGGCTTCACTTTTCTGTTTTGTTCCAAGAGCTAAATATCTTCCTCTAGGGCCTACTAGGTAACATTATTTTGTGACAACACATTTTCTCTTCATTAATTTATCTTTTTTTCCTGCTAAAATTTATTAAAATGTTCATGGCTCAAGAAGTATCATTTACTATTAGGTTTTGAGAAAACCTTTTATTATCCCCTTAACTTTTCTGCTGCCAGCTGTTGATAAGCTGAAAGTAGAAATCTTAACAGTACCCTCCCTGTCTTATGTGATAAATTATTCTATTCAGACATTTATATTTGAACTTACATGTTAATACCCGGGGAGAGTTTTACCGGCAGCTTGACATATATCTTTCACTCAATAGGCAACAATTGAGAAAAAGGATTCATGCAGCCGACCTCAGTGGGATGAAGGCTTGTTGTTGTTGCTAGTGCTATTATATGTGTTTTTACAGGCTCTGGGGAATAAGTTTGACCAATGATGCTGGGAAATGTAGGGGAAACGGTTATTTGTTATTTTGCAGAAACGGTGTTTATTGTTCCAAGGTAGAGAGGTTGGGCTTTGGGAGGAAACACATTGGTTTTTGAAACACAGCAGCACCTCATCATCCTTCTCAGACTCCGTTGCCAATGCTGATGTTTCATGAGCAGCTATGGAATGCCAACTCTCCCATCACCACTTCTGAGCGCCTGCATGCACGCTAAAATTTCCGTTCTCCTCTAAACACTGATTGCATGTGCTTGCAGTGAACACTTGCCCACCGCATTCATGCACCTCCAATTCAGACATAAAAGACCTCCAGGATCATTGAAATTGCTTTAACCTTTTTTGAACCATATGAAACATCTGCATGGGTAAAAAAATGAATTCTCAATATGCTTTAATGCAGATGGCGAGTAGTGAAAAGTAAGCTTTAGGAGCAAAACCTGATAGTGAGAAGCAGTTAAAAGAATTTTTTAATATTCATTCAACTATCAACAGATCAAATGCAAGGTGCAGATCCATTATTTATTGAAAGAGGGTTGCATGATATAATCAAATCTAATTTTGAAATCTAAACCTATCAAAATTTATAAAAATTCACTAGTCAGGCTAAACATTATTAATAGGATAATTTATTCTTATTTCAAACTAAAAAAATCTAAAAAATTTATTGAATAAAACTCTTAATCTAATATTTGTTGCTGCATCAATTATCTTGGACACAAAAGCAGTAATGATCCCTTGTTGAGAAGTATGTTGGCCATGGTGGGAGAAGTGGAATTTATTAAAGTACATCCTTCAAGCTTTCATTGGAAACAATAAAGATACACACAAACAAAAGCAGAGGTAAGTAATCATTATATGTGAGATTATTAAGAACTCTCAAATATAGGATGCATGGGGCGACTTTATAGCAGTGCATGTATGACAAAAGTGTTAACACAAACTTAAAATCAAGAGTTGATATTGATGAAAGTAGTTGTTCTGCCAACTACGGATTATCTTGCTACGTTTTTTAGGCTCAAAAGCAACCATGATTTCTATAAGTAGTTCAGGCCCGACCTCAGTTTTGGTATATGCATCATCATTCATTGTAGAAAATTTGGTTCATGCTTAGGGACAGATGCAATCACATACTCATATTTGATAACTAATGTGTACATTATAAATTTAATAGGTCAACACAGAATATGGATTTAATCTTTGAATTTTTGGAGGTGACATTTGAATTGTTGGAGTTCACGTATTGATTTACAGTACTAATAATTCGGTTCTATTAATCATCTTAATCCATATCTACATCATATTCAAAATTCGAAAGAATTTTTTTTTTGCGAAGTTGCTTTTGATCATCTTAAAACATTCCAATGAAATAATGATGATGACACCATAGTGAATGATCCTAATTTGAAAATACATATGCATGCTCTTATGTTTTTGATATATTCACTGCTAAGTTGGTTCATTTTTTATAATTCGCTTCTCTTGATTGTAATAATGTCATGATAACAGATAAAGAAAAGTTGAAAGGTTTGAAATCAAAGTTTAAGAAATTGTTATCACCAAAATTATTGTCCCTCATTACTAAGTTGAATTTGTGAAAAAGTAATGGCTACCAATGGTTTAAAATTGTGGGTGATGGAAAATGTTGAGATATGTGGATACAAACATGAATATGGGCAAATGCACTAGGCTGCGTGACGGTAGATGTGTGCAATCAAAGAGGCTCACTTTTGCAAGCGATTCAATGGTTGTGGGGTGACATGTTGGACCTAGTGTGACAAAATAGGGTGTACGTTGAAGGAGATGAGCTTTGATTGTGTTACCGAGGACACGAGATGGGTTTGTAGGAGTTAAGACCACATGATTGTTTGCACGTGAATCAATTAGTGTCCCTGTTTGTTTTTGCAAACAATATCAAAGTAATCTGAACATTGGAATTGACGAGCGAGAATCATTTGGTTTTGATACCTAGTGATGCGAACTGGAAGTAGGAAAGATAAGATTAAAGATTAATTCATCAATTAATTAACCAATTACAGCCTATGGATCCCCTGTTTAAAGAAATCAAATTTTACATGATAGAATTAAACCTAATTTTGATATCTAATCCTATCCAAATCCTAGATAATTTAATTCTCAAGTAAATTTTATCTATACTGAATTTATTCTGATTTCATACAACAAAAGCAACAGCGACAAGCCTTTATCCTACTAAGTGGGGTCGGCTACATAAATCTTTTTTCTCCATTGCGTCCTATTGAGTGTCATAGTTTCATTTAATTCTAATAGATATACCCCTGTCTTTCTTAACATAAGTCGAATCTAAAAACCTAATCTCTTGACTTGATCATTAGATGTTTGACATTTAATGTGACCAAACCGTCTGAGACGTCTCTCTCAAAAATTTTTCGCCACTGGAGCATAGTTGTATTCATTTCACATTTATCTCCAAGTGTAAAGCCGCTCATCCACCTAAGCATTCTCATCTCGAGAACACTTAACTTTGTTTTATGATTCTCTTTTATAGGCCAACATTCAACTCCATAGAGCATTGCAGGTCTCACCACTATTTTATAAAATTTTCCTTTCAATTTAAGCGACACTTTTCTATTACACAATATGCCCGAAACATTCCTCCACTTCAACCAACCAACTTGAATTCTACTAATAACATCCCCATCTATATCACCATCACTTCGAACAATAGATCCGAGATATATAAAGCGTTCACACCTTTTAATAATTTGATCACTCATAGTTGCAACTCTATCACTAGAGCTACTACTACTAAAATTACATTCCATATGTTCTGTTTAAGTTCTACTCAAACGAAGGCCTTTAGACTCTAATGTAGACCTCCATAATTCAAGTTTTTCTATTTTTTTTTTCTAGTCTTATCTACAAGAAGGATATCATCATCGAAAAGCTTACACAAAGGTATATCCTTCTGTAAAGGTCCAGTAAGAGCATCCATAACTAAATCAAAAAGATATGGGCTTAATGCCAATCCTTGATGTAATCCAACTGAAATAGGAAAATATTTTGTCAATCCTCCTTCTGTTCGACACAAGCAACAACTCTAGTATACATATCTTTAATGACTTAAATATAATTCTCTAGAGTTCCTCAAAGGATATCTCTTGGAACCTTATCGTATGTTTTTTCTTAATCAATAAAATTTTTTTGTAGATCCTCCTTATTCTCTCTTTACTTCTCCATCAAACCTCTAAATAAATGTATTGCTTCCATAATAGACCTGCCGGGCATAAATCCAAACTGATTATGAGAAATCTTTGTATCATGTCTTAATATATGTTCAATTACCCTCTCCTTTCTCCCTTAATTTTAAAGCATGACATATCAACATTATTCCTTTATAATTTGCACACTCTCGTGCATCCTCTTTATTCTTAAAAATGGGGACCAAAATACTTTTCCTCCATTTCCCAGACATCTTTTTAGCTTTTTAGATAATATTAAAGAGTATAGTATGCCGGGAAACTCCCAAATCTCCTAAATATTTCTACATATCAATTGAAATATCATCATATTCTACTGATTTTCCTCTATTTGTTTCCTTAAAACCTAATCAATTTCTTTTTTACTAATGCGACGGTAAAAATGAAACATTTTATTATTATAAACGATATTAAGATCACTAAAGTAGATCGTATTTTCAGAGACTTCATTGAAAAGGTTATCAAAATATCTCACCCATCAATGTTAAATATCTTTTTCTAAGAAGTGTTTTTTGATTTTCATCTTTGATACACTTTACTCGAGTTAAATTTTTATTTTTCTTTTCTCTTTGTTTGATTAGTTTATACATATATATTTTCACCCTATTTAATATCTAATATATTATAAAGATTGCTAAAAAATAGAATTTTTAGCTTCACAGATTGTTCTCTTCGTCTCCCTACGGACCATTTTATATTTTTCTCATTATCTAAGCTTTTACATTTAAATCAATTTTTATAACATACTTTTTTATATTTTATCTTTTCTTGTACATTATCATTTCACTACCAACTATTTTTATTTATAGAAACTTTTCCTTTTGATTCTCCAAGTATATCTTTTGTCACTTGTTTAGTAGTGTTGTAGTGTTTGTTACTGTTACTTTATCCCACATAGAATTTGCTTTTTCATGAACATCCCAAATCTTGAAAACTTAAAGTTTACCCATAAAAATAATTTTATTTGTGTTTTAGGTGCCCCCATCAAATTTTATGATATTGATTTATAGTATTTTTTATTTTACAACTCATTAAAATTCAGAACAAATAATCGATATTGAGTACTTAAATCATCACTTGGAATGACCTTACAGTCTATACATTTTTGACGATCTCTTCTTCTCAAAGAAAATAATCAATTTATATTTTATTAGATACATTCTTATAAGTAATAATATGTTTATCAATTTTCTTGAATAAAATATTTACAATGACAAAATCATACACGAAAGCAAAATTTAATATGACTACCTTCTTCATTAATCACTCCAAAATCATAGCTACGATGAATATTTATAAAATCTTTTATTACTCTATCTACATGTTTATTTAATTTTCTCCAATAAAAATTCTTTCTTCAAGAGGTATTATTTGTGTTAAATTTTCTAGGTCATTCTAGAATTTTTCTTTAGAACCTATATCTAAATCTAATTGAGGAGCATAAACACTTATAATGTTAAAAATCTTAGTATCAACAATAAACTTAAGGATTATAATTCTATCTCCAATTCTATTAATTTTTACAACATTATCTTTCAAATTTTTATCTATAATTACACCTATACCATTTCTAGTACGACTCTTATCTGAATACTAAAGTTTAAAACCTTAGTTGTCAATCTTCTTAGCCTTTTCTCCAACCCATTTAGTTTATTGAATGCATAAGATATTTATCTTTCTATGAATCATAATTTCAACTAACTCCATTAATTTATTTGTGAAAGTAATGTGAGAACCCTTGCTTATTTGACATTACTTCTGGGCAACTGTGTAGACACTTCCACACTTTTTTCACTATATTCAGGTCATAAAGCGCGGCGTTTCCAGGGGATACTCTAGCATTTTTACAATGATCAAAAGTATTCATGCTATAATTTTTCGACAAATTTACTAGTTGTCGACTACTTAATGTGTCCCTCCACTTTTATTCTGATATCACACTAAATCAGATTTAAATCTTAATAAAATGAAACAAATAGTCAATCTAATTTCATGTGTTGCTCTAGCGATTCTTCATGAATGTCAGATTTAAATTCATACTTACATTACGTAAAATCTAGTTACCCTTTTTTTATTAACCTGACACTTTCTGTATTAACCTGACTTTTACCATCTTAAATTTATTTGGCAGTGCGAAGCTGATTGAAATCTACCGGAACCGACACAATATTAGTGCTTCCAGTGGTCTAAATGATCCTGCAGTTGCTACTGGAATTTCTGATCTTGTATATGAATCTAAAGCACAACTTCCAGAGACCAGCTCTATTGATCCAGACCTGGCAATGGCTTGGGCTGCAAATCTAGGAAATGGAATGTGGGAAAGCAATGCGCCAGCAATGGATAGAGTAAGCTATTTTGATGTGTCGAGACCAATATTTTGCATTGCATGTGCTATATGCTAATTTCATTCAACTATTTTCCTGTCCTTTACCTAATATAGTTTAATATTTAATTTTTTGTTTATTTTCTAGTTCTTTGTGTTCAAATGAAATTTCTTGTTTTTTTTCTGCATCCAATTGTTTCATTGTAAACTTATGTGGTATCAGGTTAATGAATTTCTTGCTGGTGCTGGAACTGATGCTCCAGATGTTGAGGAAGAGATTATAACTTCGCGGCCATCTGCCACTTATGATGATATGTGGGCAAAGACGCTTTTAGAAACTTACGAGGCAGAGGTGATTATTAGAATATTCTCACAACTATTACTAATGGATGATCATTCTTATGAGTTTCTGAAATGTTTTTCTTATTTTTCTTAGGAAGATGATGCCAAGTCATCTGGGTCATCTTCTCCTGAATCAACTGGCTCAATCGAATCTTCTATATCATCCCACTTTAGCGGTATGGGATACCCATCCTTGTTCAGTTCACGTCCATCAGGCTATGGGGTCTCACAACAATCGGTACTTATGTCAAATTTTATTTGCTATTCTATTTATGTTGTGTTGAACTTTCTTTTTGTATTTGAACTTTGGTATGTTCATGATCACAATGTTGGATTTACTTGTGTTTTCATATTTATGTTGGAAGCTAATCAATAATAACCTTTTAGATATCTTTATTGAACTTGATCGAATGGATTAAGTAATCTTTTGTTTGAATTTTGTACGTCAATAACACTCTTCCTGATGATTATTTGAAAAAAATTGTGCTACAAATTGTGGAAAATGTTGAAGCTTAGTTTCGCTCTTCACCAACTGAACAACTGAAACTATTCATGATGGCCATGATTTTTGTAAGTTGGTTTGATTATCCATTTTGAGACTATTCGCATCCATGTAAGTTTGTCCTTACTGATATTGTGGATTTTCCAGTCAATTTTGAATAATGATTTAAATGCCTTTTTCTTCTGGACATCATCCAATTTTTTAGCTTGTAATATGTGGTACTAAGCCTCTTCTAGTTAAGGCTACAAACAAACTGAACCGAGTCAAGCAAGGTTGTGTTCAAGCCTGAGCTTGTTAAGAAAATTCGAGCTCCAATGTCTTCAAGCTTAAAATTGAGCCTTGAGGTTGTGTTCAAGCTTGAGCTTGTTTATAAAATTTGAGTCGTGCTTAAATCAGGTTTTTTTCTTTTAATAGTCACTTTTAGTTCATTTGTCATTTTGATTGTTTTAGTTTAGTTCATGTTCTTTCATGTGATGATAATCTGGCTTTTATCGAGCAAATTAATGATTAGTGGTATCAAGCTACTTAATTTCTATCCAAATAATTTTTATTGAGCAAACTAAAATTAATACTATCATGCTATTTATTTTCTAACTAAATGAGACTTATCAAATAAACTAACGAGTCATGTAATTAAGCTATTTATTTTCTAATCAAATGAGATTTATTGAGTTTCAAAATAAGCTACTTGTTGAACATACAAAAATAAAAAAAGTTTTTAATTGAATGAGCTGATAAATGAATAATTATAATAAATGAATAACTAAACAAACAAATGTTTCTATTGTTTTATGTATTATGAATTAAAAATTTAATTTAAATAAGTTTAAATTTGAGCTTTAATTGAGTTTATTCACATGTTTTAAGCTAAGCTTTAACTGATCTTATTCTTAAGGCATTAAATCATGTTTATTCATGAACTTATTCATGAGTTTGAAATGAAACTATTCATCGGGCTTCTTAACGAGCTTATTCATTACTTTAAATAATATTGTTTGCGAACATAGACAAATCGAACGAGTTGTTCAAGCTTATTCTTTTAGAAATCCATTATTTATCGAAGTGTTCAAATTTGTTCAATCAGCTAACCAAATGAGCGTGAACAAACTCTTATGCAGCCAAGCTACGAGTAGCTTATCAAACACTCGTTTTGTATGTAGCCCTACTTCTAGGTCCTTGAATTTAATGTTTTTATAGATTGAACACAGTTTCCACACCTTAATTAATGATTCAAAAGATTTACCAAATGCATGGTGCTCTCGCCAATGCAGAATCTTGGGAGGGGTTGTTGTAATCAGCCTTAAACTTTTATTTCCGGGGCAATTGTTTCCATTACGTGAACCTAGGACCTCTATGATACGTCAAAGGCAATTTGACCAATGCCCCAGGCCCATCCTTAATAATTGGTAGATCCTCTAGAGTCGAAGGGCTAACTGCTTGATTTTGTTGACTCCTCAACAGTCCCGTGATGCAGTTCCACTTGCAAAGATTGATTCTATCAAAACTAAGTTTTCTATGGTTTTCACGTTTGAAAATAATATTGAAAGGCTTACACTTACCCTTAGATCCTCTAGATTGTTTACCGAACTGCACAAATACCTGCAGTATGCCAGTTTTGAATTCTGGAGCAAACCACCTCATATTCCTTGTATGGATTACGGCTGACTTAAAGTTTCTTCTTTTATTTTTATATGACCATTCGTTTTGTATTACAGTTTATGTTCACCTTCACATATTAAATTGTTTTTCTGTCATATTCCATGCTATGTTTTTGTATACTCGATGAAAAATATTCCAACAAAGTTGTTTTAAGCCTTCTCAGGACAGTAGGTCAGCTGCCACCGGTAGCAGGTTTAGCAATAATTCATTTGGAAGTTCAAACTATGAGGGGTCCGCATCTCCGGTAAGCCTTTCTCCTAGTTTGAGCTCCCGTGGCTGGCATTTACAATTTCTATGTATTTACAAAATTAACAGCTAACTCTACTTTTTACATTTATACCACCCAAATCTTTCATATCATATAAAAAATACCACTATTTTAACTTTTACTTTTAAAAATGCACCTTTTCATGCATAGGCAGGGTGGATGCTTGTAAAAATTGAAGTTTAGGTGTTAGATATGTAAACACATAAATGTAAATCTTCTTATTATATAATATAACTGAAGACACGCTGTACATTGTGTTCAGATCAGGGAAGAACCTCCATCATATTCGTCGTCTGTTCTGCAGAGGTATGAATCATTTGAGAATCCATTAGCGGGGCAAAGCTTTGGCTCACGGAGCACTGATGAAAATGGTTCCAATAACCCACAATTTGGGAAAGCGTTGTATGACTTCACTGCAGGTGGAGATGATGAGGTATGCCTGCAATTATGTAAATTGTTTCTTCCTGTAAAAGCCACCATGGTTTGTCATAATTTGTCAATTTTCCCTTTATTTCCTGCACAGTTTTCGCAAATCAGACAAGCTGTTTTTTCTTTCTTGCAGTTAAGTCTAGATGCTGGAGAAGAGTTTGAAATTGAGGATGAGGTTGATGGTTGGTACTATGTAAGTTCACATTGAAATCCTTAACATTCACAAAATAAAAAAAAAAAGTAAAATTCATGAACTCTGCTATTTCTTTTGTTAATATTTCCTTATCCTTGAACGACCATGTTGGTTTAGGTGAAGAAAAAACGACCAGGGAGAGATGGGAAACTAGCCGGACTTGTTCCAGTGCTCTATGTGAGTCTTTCTTAGTTTTAGCAGTCTCACAAGATTAAGCTTCTGTACATCTAAGAAGAAAAAGCCATGCCTTTTTAGTAAGTTCACCATTAAAACCACACGAGTGCTTTTTGATGCTGTTTCAATTCTTTGATCGATTTTGTACACCATTCCTGTTTATCTTCTTTTTCTTCATTTAAATGCGTCGTCTCATCCAATAAGTGATTTGGCTTTTTGATGCTTGTTTGAGATTGTAAATGTATAGTAATTTTTTTTGGTTCTCTGTTTCTATTTTTAGCACATACATATATATATATTATATATATATATATATATATATATATAGATTCTGTATAACTAATACATTGCCCCACGTCAAGCGTATCAGTTGTTATGCCTTTTGTTTAATGTTAAGATTTTCGACAAATTTTATGTTGGCTGTCGACTACCTAACGCTACCTCCACTTTTCTCATCTGGCGGGCTTAGGACCTGGCAATGAAGGTGTTAAATGAAAATATGACACAATAAGACGCAATAGAGAAAAATGATACTTGTAGCAGACCCTACTTAGTGGGATAAAAACTTGTTTTTGTTGTTGTTTGGACTGAACGGAAAGAAATTAATTAAAAATTTTGGAATTTTTGGATTGTTTATGAATTTATAGCAATTGATTGAGTTTTTTCATTAATTTCTTAGCTGCACAAATTTCCAGCATCCAAATAAAGCTCCAGTAGGAGAGATACTCGGCGGTTTTAGTTTAGTGGTTTTTTGTTTTTTCGGGGAAGACCTTATATTTGACATGTTGCACTTACGTGTTTGTGAAAAAAAAAATGTTGATGGTTATAACGTTTTACTTCAGAATGTCGCTGCCTCCAATAATAAAATTACGATTTTATTTTAAAATTGATGTAAAAATTTTCATTTCTCTTTTCTGTTTTATATCAAAATTAAAAATCTACCGATTAATATTTTTCTATATTTTAATAAATAGGTGATATGATTAAATATTTAATTAAGATTTTTAATTCCTTGTAATAGTTTTGCTGTCCTATTTGCAAGAAAACAATTGAAGATGTTTTTACTTTTTTATTTTATTTTTATATTTATTGTTATTCTTTAGGGTACTCGTTTGGTGGAGAAATAATTGCATACGGAAAGTGTACGCAGAGTTGCGTATATTTTAAGCTTTTCGGAGGGTACAGTTAGACTACACTTAGGTTATACCCCCCTTATAATTCTTTCTGTAACTTAAGTGTAGCCTACCTGTACATTCCGAAATGCTTAAAATGTACTCAACTCTGCTTACGTTTTTTGCACGTAAATATTTCTCCATTTGGTGGGAGTGTAGTCGGGAATAATCTGGCATAAGCGGGCAAAATATTGCTCGTTTATTTTTAGCTTAAAGTTATGATTGAAGCATGTTTGGTGATCATGCATATGGTCCAATAGATGGATTTATGCTGTTTTTATCCTCCATATTTTCTTATCAAGACACATTGAATCATAGGATATCTCTCGATGGCTTTGAGAGTTGTGTTGTAATTTTATCAATCTAATAGACGTGTTTTTATGAGACTTTATGAATAGTTGTAATGACGGTTATATTTTTGAACACTTATTTCAATAATCAGTTTGAGAGTTACTCTTGAGGTATTTAGTGTATTTTTGAGGCATCAAAGCACTCCGTCCAAAAGCACTGGTCAAGAACGCGATCTTATTTCAATGAGATGGCATGTTTGATGAGAAATTGAAGGATGTCTTTGCTCAAATGCAGCAGTTTGATGTCCCTGAGGACAAGGAAAAAATATTGCATTAACAGTTCGGATGAGTCCGAACTTCGATAAAATCATGCGGCGTATATAGTGTTGGATCCACTTTAAGAAAAATGTGTATTTTGTCAGGAGACCTGGCTCAACTAGCCCAAAAATCATGAAAAATACGGTGCACTAATCAAAATCCGGTACACTTTCGTTTTGTTTGTTTTAGAGCTAGGATTTTACTTTTGTCCGGAAGGTTTTCTTGTAGTTATATGGTGGAGTAAGACGATAGCCCTTTGTTTTTTGTGAACAGCAAGTCAAGTGAGAAAATTTGAGGAAAAAACATGAAAATAACAACGTCAAGTTTGAAATGGAGGCGAGTTTAGCTGTTTGTTCGATTTCTTTTGTACTCTGAATCAATTATATTGTGTTAATTTTTTAGTGTTTTAGTGATGATTTTGTGGAGGTGTTGTGGAGTTATTATAGTGGTGATAATTTTAGTGTTATTTAATCTTATTGGTTTTTTTTTTTTTCGTATTGTATGATTTTGTCATATTGTTCTAGTGGTAATGCAGTGGTTTGTGTTATTGTAGTTATATTATGATGTTATTGAGGTGGAATCGAGATTGCGTTTTGTTCATATTGTGGTGATTTTGTGGTGGGATTGTGGATGTATTATGATAATTTTATGGTTATATTAAGATATTATGATGATTTTGTCCTATTTTTTATGGTATTATAGTAGTTTGTAGTGTTATTGGAGTGATATTGTGGTGTTATTGAGGTGGATTTGAGAATGTGTTTTGTTCATATTATGGTGAGATTTGGGAGGTATTGTGATGATTTTGTGGTGTTCTTATGGTGATTGTGGTGATTTTGTCCTATTATTATGGCGGCATTGCAGTAGTTTGTGATGTTATTGAAGTGATATTGTGATGTTATTGATATGAAATTGAGGTTATTTTTTGTTCATATTATGGTGGGTTTGTGTTGGTATTGTGGAGATTTTGTGATGATTTCGTGGTGATATTAAGGTCATATTGTGGTAATTTTGTCTTATTATTCTGATGGTATTGTAGTAGTTTGTAGTGTTATTGGAGTGATATTGTGGTGTTATTAATGTGGGATTGAGGTTGTGCTTTGTTCATATTGTGGTAGTTTTGTGATGGAATTGTGGAGGTATAAAAATGATTTTGTGTTGGTATTAAGGTGCTTTTGTGGTGGTATTGTCATATTATTCTGGCGGTATTGCAGTAGTTTGTGGTGTTTTGAGGTTGTGCTTTTGTTCATATTACGGTGGTTTTGTGGTAGGATTGTGGAGGTATTGTAATGATTTTGACGTGGTATGAAGGTTATTTTGTGATAGTTTGTCATATTATTCTGGTGGCATTGCAGTAGTTTGTGGTGTTATTTGAGTGATATTGTGGTGTTATTGAAGTGAGATTGAGATTGTGCTTTGTTCATATTGCAGTGGTTTTGTGGTGGGATTGTAGATGTATTTTAATGATTTTGTGGTGGTATTTTCCAACTAATCTAGTGGTGGTATTGCAGTAGTTCGTGGTGTTATTGGAGTGATATTGTTGTTGTATTAAGGTTGTGCTTTGTTCATATTATGGTGGGTAGGTGGTGTTATTATGATGGTATTGTGATGATTTTGTGGTAGTATTAAAGTAATTTTGTGGTGGTATTGTAGTTGTTTCTGGTGTTGTTATAGTGGTATTGTGGTTGATTTTGTTCATATTATGGTGGCTAGTGTTAATGTGGTGTTTGTTATTGTTATTTTTTTTATTGTTTATATGTTCTTATAGTCTAATGATTTGCACACTTAACCATGTTTAAAATATTATATAATGTGCAGTTTTGCGAGAATATGAATGTTGGTAATGATCCAATTGCAGGCAGATTGCTTGACACTATTATACATAATTAAAAGGAAGCATATAATCTATATTGTGCTTATGCCATCATGTTGGATTTATTATTCAGAAGGACCACAGTAGTTTTTGACAAAATTTGAGGAAAATTTAGTTGAATGACTTCTTATGTGGTAAAGCTGGTTTTAAAGAGTTGACGTTCACCAACACGATGAAGTTCAAAAAAACGTATGCATGGACTGGTTGCCCAATAATGTTTCATTATGAAATTGATATTGAAGGCAATTGGACAGTTAACAAATTTATAGAAAGTCATAATCACTTCTTAGTGAAGCCTAGTACTAAGCATCTTCTGTGTTCCAGGCAAAAGATAAACAAAATCAATGCAGATGTGCTTAGATTGATGACAAAATCAGGGATTAGAGCTATGAATGCATTCAACTTTTTTGCTACTAAAGTTGGGGGAGTGAAAAAATTTGGATATACTAAGAGAGATGCCTTTAATTTTATTCAAAAAGAAATAAGAGCTAAAATTGAAAATAGTGACACTAATTCTCTATTATAATTATTTATGGAGAGACAAGCTGAAGATAGTATATTTGTGTGGAACTTTCAAATTGATGAGTGTGGTAGGTTGTTGAGCATTTTCTTTAGAGTGATGACACGTTTAGACTTATTATGATTGCTTTAGGGATGTCATTATTTTTTATTTAAGTTATAGACTAAATAAATATAACTTATGATGTGCTCTTTTTGTTGAGATGAACCATCATTGGCAAAATGTTCTCTTTGGAGAGAATTTTTTGTTGGACGAGACAATTGATTCGTTCAACTGGTTATTCAAAACATTTATTCGTATAATGAATGATAAACATCCAATAATAATCTTTAGTGATCAAGAACAACAAAGATAAGAGCTATATAAGATTCTTTTCCACGTCCACATCATCGATTATGCTTACGACATAACTACAAGAAACTTCTTGCAAAAGTTCATTGCGGTGTGGGTAATAATGTCGTCAACAATCTATTCTACAAATGGATAAGCAAGTGCGACTCTGAAGAGGAGTTCAAACAATTTGGGTTGACATGATTGAGAAAGGGAATTTACAGGAGAACGTTTTACTAGATGATTTGTGCAAAATTAGATATAAGTGGTCAACAACATTTAATAAAGAAAAACTTGGAATGTGAATCTTATCAACTCAAAGAAGTGAGTTCAAAAATAATGTTTGACATGGTATTTTCAAGCCAATCTGTTTTATTAGTGATTGTGTTCTTGGACCTGAAAATGTCATAAAATCATTGAAACGAAATGAGAAGGTGAAGGATTTCAAATGTCTCGGCTTGTAATTGCTCCTGTTGCTAACAGTAGTTCAGTGTTGAGGCAGAGAGTTTTATTTTACTAAAGGAAGTTTTGTTTAAGTTTGAGGAAGAGTTCTTACATGGGTATGCGGTTTTGTTGTAGATCTGCAAACAGTGTTACTGAATTTTACATTAAAAAATTGGAAAATAAGAGAACAAACAAACCTTGGATTGGTAAATTTGAGAAATCTAATTTTGAAATAA